TGTATTTTGATCATAAATTTAGGTCTCTTAGTTGTTTGATGAATTGTTGACTCAAGTGAAAACAGAAGACTAAAATATTAACATTTTAAATATTAAAAAGGTAAACTACAGTGTTAACTCTGCAAAAAAAATTAAGATTAAAGTCCGTGTCTTTTGAAAAAAAAGAGTGGTGTTTCTTTGAAACTCTTGGCAGAATGTCCTTTTTTTTTTAGTAATTTTGACAATCTGGAGTCCAAGTTGACTAAAAATTAGAATTCATCCAAATTTTGAGCATTATTGGATAAAGAAAATGTTTCAATTATTCTTTTATAAAGTATTATAAAAACTATACATTTTGGACTTGGAAGGTGAATCCTGTGAAATCTTTTTGTAATTGACATAAACACTAAATGTTCTACTACTTATAATCAATTTCCATATACTCATAATATTAGTTGATTATCAGGATGAAAAATAAATAGGTGACATGTTTTTATATTAAAAATAACGCTTAAATTCAGAAAAAACAAAAAAATTCACAACCCACGATATTTACTTAAACATTTCTCAGAAACAAAACTATTTAATATACGTTTAGATTTCTAATAACTGTGTATCAGAAAAACTTTTCACTTCTCTTCACTAAGACTATCGTTTAACAATGTTAAAGCTCAAAATCACAAATTTACAAAAGATAATCAATAAGTTAAAAATAATTAAATACTGCAGGATTTCGAATTTACAAAATAGTATTGTCGAATAATATAAGTAGGTACTATTTTTGGTTAGAATTGATATATTTTCGATACACATCAAATGAAGTCCAATATTATTCGGATATATCATACTGAAAATTACATGTAGATCATAAAATTGATTTTATAATTAAGAAATCAAAATTAATATTATTTAAATTTAATAGACTAATTAATATTGTTGTTGGTCTGGAATGAATAGTTGTATTATACTATGTAATAAGTTGAAGTGATAATGTAAACTTTATTTCGCTCTCTGTACAAGTTTTATAAATGCATTATAAAAAATGTCTATGCAAATGTATTTACATGTTAGTTTTGTGATAAATGTTTGATCCATTTATTATAATTGTGGGCTGTTGTATGATTTTAGGACCTGTTGCCCAAGCGAGTACAATTTTAATTGATCTGTAATTGGAAAGCGTGTTTGCTACAGTTTCATTTTATATTTATTTTAGTACACATTTTAAAATGACGGGACTGCTGGCTGCATATATTAATGTAATTTGTCGTGGGTGAAATTCAAAAGCTGCACGGCTGGTGGAATAGACCCCGTTTTTTAAATATTTTTTTACAATAATATAATTTAAATTAAATTATGAATGTCGTATAACCGTTTAAAAATAGTGATTATAATATCGTTATGTTAATTAATGATTTTTTTTTTATTATAATAAATGGTTAGACGGTTAAAGACGTCATAATCAAGTTTTTACTGAACACAGTTGAAAATATGTAGGTATGTCAGTGAACGTTTATAATATCATTAAAAATAAAATAATTTAGCTATCCTGGATACATACAATGGGTGATTGGACAATTGCACATCTCAATTCAGTTTAGTATAGTGATCTGTTCTAATAATTCATTTAAGATTAATTTTAATAAATCATTATTGGTCAAACATTTCTTTACTGATATATCTTAAAAATGTTTGGATGATTTTCAGTAGTTTTTGACTAGGTACGCATATTGACAGACAACAGACAACAGAACAATTTTTGAGAGTATCTGACATAGTCGATAATTGATTCTACTATTATATTATTGAGCAATTATCATATTAAAAAACTTGTTCAGAAAATATTTAAAATAAATTAAGAGTTATACTTAAAAAATTACATTGTTTAATAAACAACCATACATAGGTATAATATCTTGCTTCAATAACGTAGATATAGTTCAATACTAATTCGAGTTGCATACTATTCATCATTCGATAGAAGAAAACGACTATCTCATTGTTCCAAAATGTATTGTTATTATACTAATGATCTTATTGTTTTAAATATCATGATAATGTCATAACGTAATTTCGTAATAAATCAAAATCGTTTCATTAAAATCAGACCGTTTTGAAGATAATCAAAAATGTTTTTTTTTTTTTAATCTTCAACGTGTGGCTTATTATCTTAAAATACGAAACACGCACGAGCCAACTTGGATGCCGAAACGATCGATTAAAACAATTTTCCAAGTAAATTTTCTCATTGTCGTCGGAAGTTTTCGTGGACTGAAAAATGGATAGAATATATTAAATTTAATATGATTCCTGATGTAATGGTGTCTGTAATAAGTCATATTGTCGTTGCATAACTTATGGTATTCTGTTCAATGTAAATAATAAACATGCCTATTTCATATTGTATACCTTACATCGTCTAATATTAGTGACGTTTTATTTTCTATCCAAGAAGACAAAATCATGACGAGATCTATTAGTTTAACAAAACGGTTTTTTTATGTTGTGTGCATTTTAGGGTTTATAATGCTTTGCAGATTACATATTGAAAATTATATAATACTATATACCTATTATATTCGATTTAAAAGTAAAAGTAGTTAAAAAAAATGTTAAAGAAAAATTTAAACGAATTTTATATTTAAACATTTTTAGATTCTGAGCGGAGCGATGAATGTATTTATTTTACAATGATGTGTGTTTTTTTTTATTTTTTGTGTCTGTATACACAAACTAGAGATGAAAAAACGCTTTGATCTTCAACTTTGAGAGTGGTTTCTTATAAAAAAAATTGATCTAGTTGGTACTTTTAAAAGGTCAAAATTGAAAATTCCTAGTATTTTTAAAAATAATAAGAAAAAAATATTAAGGAAAAACGCCAACTTCTACACAAAACCAGTTTTTAACAAAATTGATTTTATTTTTTTGGTGTAATTTAAAAACAAATTACTGTAGTTATTTGGAATTTTTGTGTAGATAATTTTTTTTATATACACAGCATATTCAAAAAATGTAGATCAGTTTTATGTTATTGCCTGTTTATAATTTTCGAGGTACACTTGACTACTTCTGTACAGCAGAGCAGTTAACTAACTTTTCTCTTTTCTTAAATATTAATGTTTTTTCAATAAATAAATTATAATAAATGATAGTCTTGAAGCTAAAAAATTAACACGACTTACGCATTACAGTCGAGCAAGTGTTTGGTGATCGACTTCATAATTTTCAATCCAAATAAGTGAGAGACCTATAATAATAAGGTTAGGTTAGGTAATAATATAATAAGTCAAATTGGCATCATAAACGTATAAATATCAAAATTTAAAAGTGTTTCAAAAATCAAGATCATTACATCGTAATCTTGTACTTTTTGAGTACACAACAATTATGGGAATTAAAAAAACTTAATTATCCATACTGATTCAAAAAAATAATAATTATTATATCCTTTCATATTATATTCACTAGTTATGGATGTGGTCTTTATTCCAACGTATAGAGAAATCATTTTAGTATATAATAAGTACTCATATTTTAAATTTTTACAAAAAAAAAAGTCGATGATATTTAGGACAATATTTTGGGGCGGATATCCAAAAGAGTGCAACTAACAATCGATCTAAGATGGCTACACACTGTACACGGAAAAAAATATAACATTGATAAGGTAAAGCCATAGCTTCAATACCAAAGGGGGAAAAGAGAAATACTTTCACCAGCTTCACGTGTTTAATAATTTACTATATTTATGATTTAACGCTAAATGATGTTTCAAACTACTTAGATACAATAAAATGTAAGTAAAAAAAAAAAAGAATAAAGTAATCCTACTTCACTCAGCATAGAGTGAAAATCGATACCCATAGTGGCAGTGAAGTGGCGGTGAGACTATAAAACAGGGTGGGTGGTAGCGGTAGTCGTTTTCGTCTTTGTGCGGGTCAATAGGTTAGTCCCCTACCCACATATACGATATAACCGGGACGGAGTAATGAAGAAAACAAAACTTTTTGTGTGTATATACGAAACTGTTGCATGTCGATTGCAGGTGTGTAAAGCGGGTCTATATGAAAATTGGGAGCATCGTCATGAAATCCCTTCGACAATCGTGGATCGTATAAAAAAATAAAATAAAAAGTAGACAGGCGACAACGCACTGTAGTGGGGAAAAAAATGTTTTATATCGCGTTTAGAGGAAGAAATAAAAAACACAAGTACACCACCGATTACAATCGTTCGTACGCCTGCCCATACACTCACCTGTTCGCACACTTTTCCCGTCTCACGAAATCCTTGACTTGTCGTGTAATCGCCGCCGTCGTGTAGTCACAAAATCTTTTAATGCGTACAGACACACACACAGAGGTCAGACCGTTTAATTTTCTTTAGATGATCATCGTTAGGTATTATTTTGTCTGTGAGTCATGGTCTTCAGAAATATTTTCTTATATTGTACAAGTTCTTCCATTTGTATTTATAAGCCGCATACAATAAATTGCTCATCCAGTAAAATCATATCAAATAATATCGCGTATGCAATTTCAAAGGTATATAAGCCGAAACCACAAATGTTATATTATGTAGTAATTAGTTCGTCCCTAATCGGCGGCAATCGTCTAACAAAGTCAAATCATCGACCTAATAACTTACAGGTACGCCAAGTATTCATTACAGAGTCATTAAAGTTTATAAATGTCACATCTTACAGATGGGATATAGCTACTTCATTATAACATGTCTATACGGTTTAGCATTATGTATGTCGTTATAATTATCGACGTTTAATTTGTAAAAATATCTAAAGCGACAGGTCGTCATCACAATACGTCATGGCAATTATGATCTTAGACGATATATTATTAAAATTCAATGAAAGTACCCAATATAAATAAATTGTTTTCACGAAATATATTATAATATATAATACGAATATTAATAGCCGATACAATGTTTATGGCTTAGGATTATGATTTCCAAAACAGTTTTATCCATTTTCGTGCGTTTATGAGTAGGTACCCAAATTTCTTATGATAGAATGTCAAACTGATGCCGGGTTGCCGGCATGTAATCTCGGTACGTTACGTATCGCCACCATTCCTGTTGAAGGATGTAAATCATATCCTTTTCAAAATACTAGGATTTTCGTGTTGAGCGTCTGCCGAGGAGATGTCGGGTCACGAGGCAGTAACCATAGCTACCGTTCATCTGGTAAAAATGGTAAAAATATTATCTTTTGTACATCGAACCTAACTCGTTCGGCCACAGTGTCCTATACGGCAACATTGTTATCGAACGTCGCAGTCGCCGCTTTCACCGCCCAGCGCACCCAAAGTCATCGTTTTCTTTTCAACGGCTAAGGGTGGCCAAAGTTCAAATAGTACCCTGGTATAAAAAAACAGCAATTACTGTCACGACTAAAAAAAAAATGTTCCAAGAGTAATAATTATGTGCTTTTACTGTTTTAGTCACGGTTCTTTTTTTTTAGGGTAAAATTTAAAGTACTTCGATTGTGTGAAAGACAACCACTATAATGTCCGTCATACGTTATACTACTTTCTAGTTTAATGCAGAGAAAATTAAAAAAATATGTCCAGTGGGTCACAGGCTTATAAAATAAAACTTTTGTTGGCATTTACACATTTTTGTGTCAGTGTATCCTATAATTCCTATCTACAAACAACTTTGTAAAATGTTATGTTAAATGTTAATCAATAGTCATATAAAATAGCTAATAAATAAATATACGTGATAACGTGAGACATACTAGGCTGGGTTTCAACATTTTTAAGCAATTAAAAAACCAATTTTTCAGACTTTGTTTTATCTAAAAACGGTATAGACACTTAGTTACAATAGTGTTCGCTTATTGTTAGATACTTAGGATTATGAATAAATATTTTATAAACTCACGACTGTGTCAAATTTACAAAGGTACTGAAACATAAAAAAAAATTAAAATATTTTTGTTTTGTAAAGTACGATATGTTTCTTACATTTCTTAGCATCAACTTCAAGTGTTTTTACAGTTTTTTTTAGAAAAATTACATTAAATACAGAACAACCTGTTATAACTTGTGTTCGTTTTACCTACACCAAAGCAATGGCCCTTCACTGCGCATAAAAACTACAAAAAAGACACTTATGGTGTATACTGTACCTGCAGATATTCAATAATAATTATGTACTTTACAAATCATCTTGTCGAACAAAAGTAAATAATGGTATGAATGGTGGCCACGTAACCTTTCCCACCACTGGTTGCACCAGACTTGGCTTCTGTGTGTTACGCGTCGTGGCGGTTTCTCTGTAAAGTTTTCCAGTCAACGATAAATCAAGGCGAAAACTGAAGTATTTTTGGGAGATAATTGGAATCTATTTGTTGACGTTCCCTCCGTCGACCTCTTGAACTTTTTATTGTCGAACCGAAAAAAAAGACGATAACTATATTGAAAACACTTTTGTGCGCACGGGAAACAAATGGGATTTTTGGCTGTTAAAATTTTTAAATGCGTTTAACGCTGAATGCTAGCAGTGCACGGATGAACCGACGAGAATATCGATGGCCGGGCCAAAGTTTTTGTTTTCGACCTCCTTATATTATATAATAATGAACTCTAAACAACGATAACCGAATTGATTAGTCCAATTGAATCGCTTCTATTCTACTACGATAGTATACGATCCCGTTGGCGTCGGATAAACTTTATTATTTTGTTTTTCATCTCCGTTGACCTCTTGAACGTCGATGATATAATGTGTTCTAACATTGTAACTATTCAGCTCGGTGCTCGTTTATCACACTCGATAACATAATATTATTATATACCTACTGTAACGTTTAATTTACAATATGAAAAAAAACACAAAAAATTTAACAGATACAAATGACACAATTACACTAAAACTATATTCGCGGTCATTACAACCGTCGTTTACGCTCAGACTAATAATTATTATGAATTGGTTATTAAGAATATTTTCTGTCTATAAGATACGATTTATCTTATAGTTTATAGGATCAATATTAGCAGAAACGATTATAATGTTGATTAGTATGTATTAAGAGTACTTGAGTTACGATTTTGACATAAATAATATTGAGTACTTAACAATAATAATTTATACGGAGGAAATTGCGAGTACCTAGTCAGTTTTTGATTAAAACGATTTCCATGCAATTAAATAAAAATGTCTTTGTTCCGTGCAAAGTTTAAAAAAAAAAACTACGGGCTTGATGTAAAAACATTTTATTTTAAATCGTAGTAGCGATTTAAAAAGAGCAAATGTCGTGTTCGAGACATTCTTCAGGAACCCACAAGCTAAAATTCCGCTGAGCATTCGTAAAGGTTTTCAAAGAGTTGGACTATTAGTTAACTTTGATGACTGCTATATGATGATGATATGTGGTACGTGACCTTTAAAAATTAATATTTTAGTTGCGACTTTAATAATGCATAAACCACTCTTGGTCTTTGAAGTTTGTAAATTTACTAGGTACGCAATTCAGTATGAAGTTTTGTTATTTTTCCTACGGAAAAAGCGTGCTGGAAGGAAAAAAAGGAAATGAGGTAGAAAACGTGTGTCCGCTGAACTTCCGTTATTGTCGACAGTGGTTATATTATATACCGTCATGATTATATTCTCAAAACACGGTGATATAAAAACACACAGCTTTTTGATTTCGTGCTATAATAAGCTATCGTAGTACATGAATAAAAAATTAAAATAAGACAACCACGACGGGGCCATTGAAGAGTTAATAATTTTTTTATTTACCACGATACTTAAAAGAGAAAAAAATGGAAAAACAAATTAACGCACTTGTTTACTCTCTTAACTCTGGGTTTACCAATAATTATACTCATACAATATACATGCATTCCTTAAAATTTATGAATATTTATCAGCTTAAAAGAGTATTGACACGTTGTTTGCTGTTTAAGTTAGAAAATATCAATTTTTACCAGATTTTTCAACGAATAAAAGAAATTAATTTTAATCTTTGGAAAAAATTACACCATTTATTTCCATCTGTGGGACATGATGTGTTTGTAGAGAAAAAACAAAAAAAAATACTTACCTAACTCAACTAAACAGTTTCAGTTATTTGTATCGTATTCTATTCTTGTATATACATATTATTATCGAAAATAAAACATAAAGTTTATGACGAGTAATATTTTGGATCCCTGACTCAGTGCTTTTGGATTATAGACAGTAACAAAAGTCTAGAAGTTTGGGCTAGAGTTTGGTTCATCCAAACTCCTCGTGATTTATTCGACTTGAAAAGGATTCGATTTAACCGAAATAGAACAATGGCCTAAGTTATCACATTTTCCGCTGCTATTCCCTCTAGTATTTTGGAAATAAAACGATATTATACGAAGGTATCCAATCATTTGATTATGTAAACTTATCAACCATTACCATTTTAATTAAAACGAAAATATTTTTATTATTTTATTTTTTTATTTTTTTCAAATTAATATTTTAGACATGTAAGAAAACGATATTTAGTTATTTGTTCACATTTTATTACAGATGATGAACATGGAATTATATTCGTTTATACAAATTAGTTCATGTGAAAGAATATAACGATGTAAATACTAACCTTCTGGTAAATAATAATATTATATCTTTGAGCTAAACATGAAACAGTTTAAAATATTTGGGTTATTATTATTTCAGAACCAAATGTAAGATGTTTAGAAATAGTGATAAAAAGGATAGTGTAAAAAATACAAGAACGAGTTTATTATTAGATAATTTAGAGACATAATATTTCTGAAATACTTACATCAGAAGAAATCAAATTTAATAAACAACTTGAGTTAAATTTATATTCTTCTACATTTTTCACGATAACTTGTATATTTTAATGTCAAGAAATCCAATCGTAAATTTATAAATTTACATTGGTAATTCAAAGTGTTATGAGACCAAGCATTATGTATTCATTTTTTTTTTTACTGTCAACGAGCTATAAAGTCGATTTGCATTTTGAAGTAGTTCGAGACTCAGTCGTTAAGACCAATTGAAATGTATTATTACGTTTATAATTACTACTAATTAGTTGAATAATTATTATTTATATCCGATGTGTACCCAAATTAATACTTCAATTTATATGTATTAGATTACCTTCAACTAACCACCCACTGTATGTATTTATTTTAGGTAAAGCTTGCCGTCAAAGTCGTTCAAACAGCTTTCAAAATTAACCGTTCACGAGAAAGGGGTATGGGCAAAGGAGATAAAAAACCAACGTCCCAGAATAGCGGTAAGTTAAATACGTAGTTATAAGAGTAATGTGTTTTTTTTGCCTGTAGTGAGAGCAGATTTTCAGCATTTTAGCAGACGCAAACATGAAAATATTTGTCTTAACTATAATATGTCATTGAGTATTATATATTTTTTTTACGTGCAAATAAAATCTTTAAACATATAAGTATATAACGTGCACTATACGCAATTTTTATAATTAATTTTTGTACCGCACACATGTGCGTAATTTGCGTTTGGATGATAATAATATCAAAAATCTTTACTCTCACTGATTTTATTAGAAAAATGTATCCGAGATGACAAAATTGGGTGTACATTCCATATAATTATAATTATATAATGTTCAATAGACGGAGAGTGGGTTAATTTTGCATCATAAAATTAATGTTTGTGTAAAATTATGTCTATAATTATTGAGATTATAGAACGAGAGTTGTTCAAACATTGTGTAATAGAAAGAGGCTGCACATAATAATGTATAAATCTAGGTATCGAAGTATCTAGTATGAAATCAGTGAAATTATTGCTTACTCTCTTTCACCCCCTTCCAATATTTTGCGGTAACACTGTTGTAGTCGCTGGTTCTTGTTACTGTTATAATACTCATTGTAACAGAGATACATTATAACCGCATGCGTATAAATAGTCGTCTGAAAGTCACCGTGAGTCATAATATTAGATTATAAAAACAGCTTCTTCTTCTTTTTTTTTTTGTAAAGTGAAAAAAGAAAACGTCGCGTCGGCACGTCATAACACGATATATAACATTTGCACAACGTTTATGGTTGAAACAGGTTGACGTGTAAGTAACGAGCTGGAAATTTCCACAGGGAGAATACTATATATATATATATATGCCTCTTTACGGCTTCAAACAAGGCTATACGTTATATATATTTATATAATATGGCATTGTGTTAATAATAAAAACGACGACGTTAACCTGTGCACGCACACCTCATCGTCCACGGAGCTGAGAGACAATAAAGATTTTCTCTCTCTCCGCCCATTTTTTACCCACCGAGACTAGGGCCGGGGGACGTTTTGTATGGGACAGATGGTTTGTGTG